CGCATCACAGATTGCTGGATTATTAGAACAAAGTGTTCTTGTATTAAGGGAGTACTTGAGTTGAGGCCCAATGTCCACCTGCAACCTTAATTCTTAACATAGAGATTTTGGCAACTACTCATTTTTTTGATGGTAACAAAGGTTAATCTGTAAGAATTTACCTCATCCACATTATTGTCCTGATTTTGCCCCTTCAGGTTCTTCTGGTTCACAAAACTCAAAGAACATTGAAAAGCAAAATAATTCAAATGCATGAAGGTTCCTATAACTACCACTTTGATGTAGTTTAATGAATGAGTGCAGAAATCATTCCCAAAGGATTGCTAGAAAAAACACTATCTTCAGAAAAATAGAAATATTTTTGTTTAAAAAATATTCATGTGATTTTCAAAATTATTTTTATTTTATCTTTCATATATGCAAAATGGGCAAGCATTGAAAGGACTAAATTTTCAGCCAACATTTTTACTGAATGTTTCATAACTTCATATCAATTTAACTTGTGTTCTTAAAATGATCAATATATATTGCACTATAAAGTGTTTTATTAATTCTCCCCATATTTTCTGTCTCTTTCCCCCAAACAACACAACCAAGCTTCCTATGCAATGCCTTGAATTTAGTTTGAGAACTTTATTTTATTTGAAATCATTAGCTGTTATGTTTATTCAATTATTGTTTAGCAAATTCTATCTTCACAACTAAGGAAAATGTCTCATTTTAAATATTGATAACAAATCTCGTTTTCAAAACATCAAGGATCTTCTTACTATGATACACTGATCTTCTGATTGTCTTGTGACTGTTTAGCAAAATTACATAAATGTCAAGCAATCAAAAAAATTAAGATTCTGGTGCTTTTGTACATAAGCACATTAAGAAACTCAATTAATCAATTAAAAATTAATCTATTAAATCTGTATAACAATATATCAATTATGTACACGGGTTTATTTTATTTTTTTGAGTGCACATGCTGGAAAATAAACACACTGTAATCATGTCCTGCTGGTGTGTGGTTTTGCATTGGGTTGCTAACCACAAGGACAGCAATTCAAACCCAACAGCTACTCCGCAAGAGAAAGATGAGGCTTTCTACACCTCTAGAGTGTTACAGAGCCAGTCTCAGAAACCCTCAGGGACAGTTCTATGCTGTTCTATTGCATCTCCAAGAGTTGAAATGAACTCAATGACAGAGAGCTCGGGTTTGTAGGAATATATTATTTTTCCCTTTGAGGCCATTGAATACCTTTTCCTGGATAACTTGTTTGTATTAACCATTATAAATCCACTAGGGTTTTGGTTTCCATGAGTTACAAACCTACTCCCTGACGCAGTGTGGCAGTTACAAATCTGTCATCAATTTGAGACTTATGAGTGAAGGGGTGAAGTTTAGACTGTCAATCAGATGGCAACTTGATGACCTCATTTGGAGTGATAACGAGATAAATAGCTCACTGGAGGCGGGGCACACAGACACTCCTATGAGACATTACTGAGGACAAGCCTGATGGAGTTTCACTGATGCAGCCAGAGCCCAGGAAGCTGGAGGAACCACATGGAGACCCCTGCCAGCACTGAGATGCTTCTACTGTCACTGGATACACAAGACCTTCAACCCAATGGCCTGTGATCTTCATTTGAAATTATTGCATGGCTGTGTGAGTCTAAAAAGGAACTTATGGACTAGTATCAGACATATGGGCTAATATTGGACTTATGGAATTGATCTGGACTGGGCTGAGGTGTTTTCTTCATATTCAATTGCTCTTGTATATAAAGCTCTTTCTTATACACATATGAATGTCTCTGGATTTGTTTCTCCAGGCAACCCAGACTAACACACCTATAAAGATAGAGACAAAGTACTGTTATGTAAAGAACTTCTATTAATGTATCCAAACCCTATCACTGTCTGACTATATACTCTCTACTTTTCATCTCCAACTTTTAACATTACTTAGAAATTAGCCTCGTTAAAAAAATGTGACAAATTATCCTGTAGTTTCTGATTTCATATGTATTATTCTATTAAATTTTAACTAAAAATATTCCAACAAATTATCTACACACTTTAATTTCAGTGTGTATACTGAAACTGTTCTTTTAAACTTTTTTCTTTAAAGCTTTTATAATCCTCATACCTGTATATCACAAATAACATCATTTTCAAAATGGTGAAACTTGTGATTTTTAAATAAAAGAACTTAAAAGGGGGCAATGATTTAGAAGTCACTTAATAAAATACAATTCTCATTGCATATGTTCTCATAATTTTATAAAAAGGACTCAAGAGTCATTTGAATTCAATATAAAGTGTTGCTTAAAAATTTTTTTTGCTTATATCCACAACTCCTATGGAATAAGACTGACTGGAATGTATTTCATTTCCCTGTGCATAAGATTACCTAAGAGCCATAACCATCTCAGTAATACCTAACAGCAAAAACAGAGAAAATATATTCCCTTTTTCACATTATTTATTTGCCATTAGTGCCATTATTGCCCCTCTAAGTTATAATCCACTCTATAACATTCCATTCTCGAATCATATCGCATTTTCTATGTCTTCTCATATGCTTACTTACTTAGAACGTCTATATAGATGTACATATATATACATATACACATACATATCGAGTATTTTCTATATTAATGCAATCTCTTCCATTTTTTTACCAACGTTTCCCTTACTTCCTTGTTACGAAGTGTATAGATGAAAGGGTTGAGAACTGGAGTGACCACAGTGTTCAGTACATGAACAGCCTTAGTAAGATCCAAAGCGTCTTTGATGGAGGTTCGGACATGAAGGAAAATGGTAGATCCATACCAGATGAGCACCACTGTTAGATGAGATGAGCACGTGGAGAAGGCTTTGCTACGGCCAGTGGCTGAAGGGATTCTAAGGATGGTTCTAATGATGAAGATGTAGGAGACCAGGGTGATGAGGCAGGAACTTAGGATGACCACAAAAGCAATCACAAAGGACACAAGTTCCACTGCTTGTGTACTGGTACAGGCAAGGGCAATCCAGGGGGCAATGTCACAGAAGAAGTGATTGATGGCACGCGGGCCACAGAAAGAGAGGCCACTGATGAGGGCAGTGGGCACTGCAATAGCCAGGAAGCCACAGATCCAAGAGCCCAGAGCCAACTGTGCTGACAGCAGGCTGCTCATGATGGCGCCATAGTGTAGAGGATAGCAGATGGCAAGATAGCGGTCATACGCCATGGCTGCCAACAGGAAGTATTCTGTGCAGCCCAGGGAGAAAACAAGGTACATCTGCACGAGGCAGCCAGTGAATGATATGGTCTGACTTCTTCCCAGGAGGATGGCCAGAGCTTTGGGGACAGCAGCTGTGGTATACCAAATCTCCAGGAAAGAGAGGTTACTCAGAAAGAAATACATGGGGGTGTGGAGCTGGTGGGAAGTACCAACCAACATCAAGATAGCAACGTTACCACCAACTGTGAGGATGTACATCACCAGAAAAAGCAGGAAGAGAGAGAACTGAAGGGTCTGGGATCCTGGAAAGCCCAATAGGAGAAATTCCTGGGGGACAGTTCCATTGTCTGTGCTCATGGTAGTACTGTAATAAATTAGGAAACAGGGACACAAGACAGAAAGACTTTGAAAAAATAGGCACACTCGTAGAAAAATAAAAACAACAATTGCATTCATGAAAGAGTGTCAATTCAATGTTCTGACATGTGTTAACACCCATGAGTGCCTCTTCTGTACCTAGAGCAGTACATGAATAATATTAGTTAATCCCATGTTGCAGTGAGTAATCTATGATGATAACTTGATGTAACATTCATTTTTTGTGATAAGCAATTATGAGACTAGGCAATTCATGTGCTATTAGTTTAATTGATTCGGGAAAAGATGATAAATTTTTCATTCAAGAATCAATGGAGACGATGTCAAGGATTCCTGGAAAGAAAAGAATATGTGGAAACAGTGGTAAGCAACTGTTCAATACTGCTTGAAATGACGAACTATGGAATACGATATATGTATTAACTCCAAATTAAAAATAAATTTGAAAAATAAAATTAGAGCTCTCTGCTTTCATCAACTATTCTAGTCACCATGCACCTCTTTCAGCCACAGATTACATCTAAACCAACATGTACTAAACTCTTTTCTTCTGGACTAAGTATTGTAAATTGAATCTCTACATGGTCTTTGAATAAAAGCATATAATTTTGACTGTTCAAAAATATGGCTTCCAAAAGATATTCAAGTCACCTGAATATTTCATAGTAGTAAAATCCCATTTGTGATTCTGATTTTAAATGTTTGCTCTCATGTGTACATAAGTTTTCTTTAAATATATGAATGGATAAGAAATGGATAAGAAAAATGCATACAAGTACATACAATGGTATATTACTTATTCACAAATAAAAATGAAGTGCTAATAAAAATGGAAAGTTTAAAAAACAAAAACAAATTTTATTGAGTGAAATGGGTAATTATTATATTGTCATAGTTACATGAAATATATAAAGCTGGAAAATCCATTAGTGGGGATATATTGTTTAAGGGCTACTGTATTTCGATTTAGGATAGAAAACATTTGACAATGGGTACTTGGGACAGTTTCTCAATATCATTTCACTTCAATGATGTCACTGAATTGTAGGGGGAAATTGTTGAAGTAAATACTTCATTATAGAAGTGCCTTAAAATATTTTTATATAGTCTTTGGAAATAAAGTATAAGAATTATGTGTATTAAATTTCAAATAATTTTTCTCTTCACAATGTGACTATGGATCTTGAATTTTTCATATTGAAATTTATTGATGATGATGTTCACATCTTACTGATGTGAAATGTCATTACAGGAATACATTGCTTATATTGAGAAATGCTTCTATATTAAACAATATAGTTAACATAAACTGTTTCCTATAACTAAGACACATGATGCTTACTTCCATGTTGGTAACTTCACTCTCAGCATCCCTTTCATTTCCTCTTCATTCCCAGCATACAGCACTCTTAAAAATGCAGCAAACATTCTGCCCTTCAATTTTTATTACACATATGCAGCATTAGAGTGTATATTTAGACTACAAGTTTTGTCTCTAACAGGATTGAGTCTGTACATTGGCCTTGCCCCACTTATCGAGAAAATATCTTTAAGGTCATATATAGTCTAACTTTTCTAGCACTAATCAGAAAAAACATGTTGTTATCAAAAAGCAGATTCCAAGTCAATTGTCTGGGGTGGAGACTCTTCATTTCACAGAGTTTCTGAAGATATCACTGGTCAAGTACTAGGACAGCAATGAACTCGCATTCTTCTCATTTTTAAACAATCTCCACAAGTAACAGATAGCATTTCTTTTCTAATGTACTTGATTAAACAGTTGCTGTCAAGGCTACTTTGGCTTATAATGACCCTAGGAGTACTGACCCTCAGGATGCTCAAGGGTGCAAATCCTGACTGAAGCAGACTGCCACAGTTTCTTAATTGATTGGTGGGAAAATTGAAATCTCTCCTTTTGGTTTGACATTAAAATTTACTCAATTTACATCCAAATCTTCCTTATTTGGTTCCAGATGTATGCATAATTATATAGAGCCATCATTTTCTACTCTTAAAATTTAAACAATAGTTAGTTAGAGAATGAATATTTGACAATAGTTAGTTAGAGAATATTTGACAATAGTTAGTTAAAGAATGAATATTTACTGCCATATTATAGAAAGGTACTTTTAAATTTAATTTTTAATTGCATGACTAGATTTGTTGGAAACCATAAACTCATATTTCATTGCAGTATGTGATAATAAAAATAATCACATTTTAATACCTATGTAAATTGTTCTTTACTTGAGTATGTTCAGTAATAATTCTAAGACAACATATATAGGACTGTTTGCATATGATTTAAGAGTTAAGGAAGATCAGAAAGAGAATTAGTATGATATACTGTTTTAAAACAAATGACCTTTAGATTTTTCATATTAGTTAATGTCTTGATCTATTTTATACAGACCATACGCAGTTTTTGATATTTACCAAAGAAGCAGAAGAAGAATTTTGACTACCTATATACTTGAGCATTAGCTGACCCAAATATCAGCTGAGGCACCTAATTTTACCACAAAAACTGCATTAAAAATGTGCTGAAAAAGTTGGCTTATACATGAGTATATACAGTATTCACATTTGGGTTTTATATTGAGGGCATATAAAATAACATATAGTTTTCATATAAATATGCAATATTTTATCAAAAGTTACTCCATGTAATTGCATCTGAATTTTAGCATATTTGAAATATGGATTATCTATTGTTATAAATCCATTTCTTCAAAATATTTATGATTTTGTACTCATTGATCAACAATTGATTATTGTGTCCGATACATAATAATGTGTGATCACTCACCCAGTTGCAGGGTTTTCTATCCTAAGTTGAAATGACGTAGTTTCTTCAATGTCATCTTTTCTCACTTTTCTGCTTCCACAATTGTCTTCTTTTTAAAGAATTCCTTTTGAGCCCATTATTCTCTTTTTGTTTACTTTATTTTTAGATTATTATTAACAGTCATTACATTTCAGTTATCTAAATCTTCTACACTCTTCAAACCTTGCTCTAATTAAAAAAATATATATGTATATATTCCATTTGTCTAGTGACTTTCACCATGTCCAGTCTGGGTTTATTCCAGCCACTTTCCTGGTGTCTTACATAATCTTTGCCTCATACTTTCTTATAATGATCTCCCTCTTGACAACAATTTGCTATCCAATAATGGCTTATTTGTGGATAAATCTTCAGGGATCAGATGAAATATCACATCTCTCTTGGGCACTTAGGACTAGGGCAAGGAAGCATGACCTTATTGATAAAATTGTGTTCAATTCTTGTGAATAGCTGGTTCAAAAACTTACCAAGAATTTGATTTAGATAATGATATACTTTAATTGTAATATTTCTGCAACAGGAAAAGATCATTTCTTTTGAATGTTCTATGTGGTTAAATAGATAATATATGTCAAACTCAAACTCATTCCCATCAAGTCGATACCCACTCATAGTGACCTTATAGGACATGAGAGGCCTCTGTGGGCTTCCAAAACTGGATCTATTTACAGCGGTAGAAAACCTCATCTTTCTTCAGTGGAGTCACTGGTGGTTTTGAACTGCTGAGTTGTGGTTAGAAGCTCAAAGCATAAGCACTACACCCCCGGGCTCCTTAACATGTTTAAAAATATATATATAAATAAACATGTAATAAATATTTATGTATTTAAATATATTATAGATAAATGTTTTTTATATTTTTCAACTTAGTTATTGTTTCTTGCTGAAAGCTCTCATTGATGCAAATATTCAATCAGCTGAAAAATTTGTGAAAAGCTCTTTTCTACATATCAATTAAGTAAGATCCAATTCTATGATCCAATTAAGTAAGAAGTCTAAGTAAAAATATAATTACTTAATATAATTGCTTAGGTTTTGTCTCAACTTGCATGGACCAGAATTTTCAGTTGTATGACAAATAAGTCATAACACAACCCGATGATGTACTTTAATGCTGTGTAAATACCACCACAATGTCTACAGCAGTCAATCATTTATATGAAGAATAGGGTGGAATGGAATACCCTTACTCATATCACAGCCCTGATGCAATCAGTTTTAAGGAAATATTTTTGGGAATGTGGCCTGCTTGTAATGTAAGTAGAAGCTCTGGAAATGTACTCTTGCTTTTTGTTAGCCTGAATCTGGTGTCTGGCTTGTTCTCTGACCTCTAGCTTTTTTACTTTAAATAGGTTCCTGTTGTACGGCCTGCTAATTCTGGTACCTGTCCGTAGCCTACCTTCCTTGGATTAAATTGCGGTTTCAACCAGAATCCTGCCAATCTTGGTATCATTACTCCTTGCAACTGTATAACTCAAGAGAATCTTCCAGCTTGACAAATGACCTACGGACTTGAAACTTGCCTGTCTCTACTATTGTTTGACCCATTTATATGATCTAAACATCTCCGTATGTATGTGTTTGTATGCATACAAACATAGTGTATATACACATGTATAGTATACATCTATGTGTACGTGTGTGTGAGTTTCATGGGTTTGCTTCATTAGAGAAACTGAAAATTTAATATTAGATCAGGCTGAAATATTTTTTAATTGGCCATATATCATATTAAATAACAAGCAAATAAAATGTCAGTTGTAAATATGAGAAATAACTTAAGTCAAGGATGTTGGGTACGTTTCCAATGAAAAGTATCACATAACGCCATCTTTGAGAAATCATTATTGTGAGAAACATTCTTCTTTAATGTTTTTGACAATCTGAAAGTTGGTTATTTAAAATTATATGAGCAATGATGAAATATCCCAGCCTTTACATGCACAACTGTATCACTTACACATCCTTTCTTACTAATCCAGGTAAAGAACTGCAGCTCAGGAATTGCTGAGAACAAAATTCTACATACAGCTATATTTTCTAGAGAAACAAAGTCTTTAGGTAAAGTTTACAGGTCAGATTTAATTTGGGGCCCTTCAAACATAGTGTCCTTTTTTCTTTCAGGCTAGTA